ACAGAAAGGTCTCACATCAATAATATAATACTTAATTATAAATACTCTTTATACTTAAGGAGCTAGAAAAGAGGCAAAAACTAAACCCAAAGCCAACAGAGGAAGGAAATAATAAAGAGTAAGAAGATATGAAAAAAACTAGAAAAATAGAATCAACAAAATAAAAAGTTGGTTCTTTGAAAGTATCAACAAAATTGATAACTTCAGACAGCTAAGAGAAGACACAATTGCTAATCTCAGAGATGAAAGCACAGATATTATTATTGACCTTATAAAAATTGAAAGGATTATAGAGAATATTAGGAACAGTTGTATGCCAAAAAAACTAGATAATCTAGATGAAATGGAAAAATTCCTACATATACAAATTAATAAAACTAACTTAAGAAAAATATCTCTTCTATCACAAGTAAAGACACTGAACTAGGAATCAAAAACCTCCAACAAAGAGAAGTCCAGCTCAGATAGCTTAATTGGTAAATTCTACCAAACAAATGAAGAATTCACGGGCCATGCTGGGCGTAGTGGGTAAAGTCGCCACCTGCAGGGCCAGCATCCCATGTGGGCGCTGATTCGAGTCCTGGCTGCTCTTCTTTCAATCCAGCTCTCAGCTGTGGCCTGGGAAAGCAATAGAGGATGGCCCAAGTCCTTGGGCCCCTGCAACCATATGAGAGATCTGGAAGAAGCTCCTAGCTCCTGGCTTTGGATCAGCCCAGCTCCAGCCCTTGCTGCCATTTGGGGAATAAACCAGTGGACAGAAGACTGACTCTCTCTCTCTCTCTCTCTCTCTCTCTGGCTTTGCCCCTCTGTAACACTGCATTTCAAGTAAATAAATAAATTTTTGTTAAAAAAAAGAATTCACATCAATCCTACTCAAACTTTTCCAAAAAAATGGAAGAGAGGGAACACTTCTTAACATAGTGACAGAAATACTGTTATACCAAAGCCAGAAGAGATATCAAAGAAAACCACAGATCATTTTTCTTTATTAATATGGGCACAAATATCCTTAACAAAATACTAACAAGTCAAATCCCACATAGCCAGGGCCTGGGAAAACAGTGAAACATTATACACCATGGCTAATGAGATTTATCCCAGGAATTCAAGGGCTCCAAATGGAGCTGTGGGCTCCTGGCTTCAGTGTGGCCCAGCTCCAGCTGTTCTAGGCATTTGGGGAATGATCCAGCAGATGGAAGAGCTCTCCTCTGTATCTCTCTCTCTCTCTCTCACCGTGCTTTTCAATTAAATAAATCTTTTTTTTAAATAGGGAAATAATAGTCTCTTAAACAAATTGTTCCAGAAAACTGAATATCCACATGCAAAAGAATGAAGCTGAACCCCTACCTCACTCCATATACAAAAAAAAATTTTAAAAATGAACAAATCAAACATAAAAACTAGAGTCAGATCATATTATAAGAAAAAAGGAGAAATCTTCATGACCTCACATCTGACAAAGATTTTTTTTTTCCACAGGCAGAGTGGACGGTGAGAGAGAGAGACAGAGAGAAAGGTCTTCCTCTGCCGTTGGTTCACCCTCCAATGGCCTCCACAGCTGGCGCGCTGCCGCCGGCGCACCACTCTGATCCGATGGCAGGAGCCAAGTACTCATCCTGATCTCCCATGGGGTGCAGGGCCCAAGCACTTGGGCCATCCTCCACTGCACTCCCTGGCCACAGCAGAGAGCTGGCCTGGAAGAGGGGCAACCGGGACAGAATCCGGTGCCCCGACCGCGACTAGAACCCGGTGTGCTGGCACCACAAGGCGGAGGATTAGCCTATTGAGCCACGGTGCCGGCTGGCAAAGATTTGACATCAAAGTACAAACAACAAAAGAAACAAATAGATAAAAATTGACTTTCTCAAATAATGAAGATCATGAAATGATAACCAACAGAATGGGAGAAAATGTTGGAAAATCATGTATCTGATAAGTTTCACATCTAGAAGATTTATAACTCAACAACAAAAATACAACCTAATTTAAATGGACAAAGGATTATTTGAATAGACAGTTCTCCAAAGATATACAAATGGACAGCAAGAACATGAAAAGATGTTCAAGACCACTAGTCATTAAGAAAATGAACATGAAAACCACAATGAGATAGAACTTCACACTCATTAGTTGAATCCAGTATGTCTCATCATCCTATTTACATAGGACACCTATAAAAAGTTAAATTGAGTAGTAAAATAGATCATTTATGGTAACTTTGAAATAAACATGATGCTTTTAGATTCTATTCCTTTAGGAAAAGTAACAGGTGAATGAATAGAGCATTTGAAAATAGTTTTCAATTCTGTGAAGACTGCAGAAACTTTGCTGCAAAAGTTACTTTTACTAAATATTCAACTGAACAAAAGATTGCATACATAACTGATATCTAATATAAGAAATGCGTTCGTGGAAGTGTTTTCTAGAATGAGGTTGTCACTTCATTTTGAAGCATGCACTGTATTCGAAAAGGTCAGAGTGTTCTAAACCAGCCGTGCACGGGACACTGGGACCATGCACACGGCACAATAACGTGGAGTGTACTGCTCCAGTGTGTTATTTGTGGACAAGCTGTGACTTGAGTGCTTGAGAGGAAGGTAGTTCCACAGAAGAACCCGCAGTGATACTCTCTTTTGACAGTCTGCCTGTTCACCGGTTATGACTGCTTGGAACACCTCTGAAAGATTGGATTCCAAGCTACAGGCAGCACCGTGAGGGAAAACGGACTACACAAGTGTCCTCTAAAACTGACAACGCTGATGGAGAAACAAGCAAGAGGGCCATCTGATTACAGATTTGACACAACAATAAAATTCTCCCCGTGAAACGGTTAGATAATACATGTGTCACTTGTTGCAACAAGCTAGGACACAGTGGGATCACGTGGCAAAGTTCAACAACAGAAGAAATAGAGTAGAGCCAACGTGTCTCAGCAGAAGGGATCAGGCACCTGCTACCATTTCAGTGGTGGTGTGGATAAGCACAAATGTCTGGTTTCCAAACATCCCATTTCCAGTAGAGGTAAAAAATGGTACTGACCTTTGTTCACTTGAGTAATTGATATGTGTATCGTAAAGGGATGGATTAATCCCAAGTTTGTGAACAAAGACAGCAATGTTCCCATGAAGCTCTTGGATTTCAAAAGAGACATTTGCTCAGTATACCTACACCGATGCAATGAGGAATAATCAAGAGGAAGAAAGCCGATTGCTCCCAGACCTACAACGTCCAAGATGATGCCAGACTTGACAGAAGCCTACGCACTCTCAAACAGCAAGAGCAACAGTGATGTCAGAATAAGCTGTATTATGGGAAGCTGTAAACATTTGTTGAAAATTTTCTGCTAACCCTTTGAAATGTTTTTGTTTAAAAATAATTATTAATCAAGTCATGAAAGCTGCTTCTTTGCAACCTGTGTAATGTAACAGAATGATATTTCATTTGCCTAATGTTCTACTTATAGGAGAGCTTTTATATACCGGAGAAAGACACTGTATTATCCCAGTATCCTACTTACAGGACCACCTGTATTTTCACTCTTAATGAGAATAAAGAATACATAAGCTCTAGATTATGGTTTCCAATTTATTTTTAATACAGCTGTGTCAATTTTGTTGAAATATTCACATAATTTGTTGAAATAATTAACAGAAACTTGGGACTTAGTGGGTTAAAAAAAAAAAGGAAAATAACAAGTATTGGTGAGAATCTGGACAAATAAGAACCCTTACAGATTGTTGGTGAAAATGTAAAATTGTGCAGCTGTTGTGGAAAACAATTTGGAGGTTTCTCAAAAGGTGAAGCACAAAATTACCATGTAGCTAGCAAATCCACTCCTAGGTATACACTCAAGAGAAATGAAAACACACGGCAAGGGGCTGGCACTGTGGCACAGCAGGTTAAGCCGCTACCTGCGACAGCAGCATCCAGTACGATAGCTGGTTCAAGAACCAGCTTGGCTTACCACCCAGCTCCATGCTAATGTGCCTGGGCCCCTGCCACCCACATGGGAGACCCAGATGGAGTCCCAGGCAACTGGCTTCGGCCTGACCCAGCCCTGGCCATTGTGCCATTTGGGGAGTGAACCAGGAAGATAACTCTGTTCCCTCTCCGTCTCTCCCTCTCTCTGTAACATTGCCTTTCAAATAAATTAATAAATCTTTTTTTAAAAAAGAAAAAACATATGTCTATTCAGGAGCTTCTACACAAATATGTATATCAATGTGGTTTATAATGGTCAAAAAGTGGAAACAGCCCAAATGTCCATCAATGGAAGAATTGATAAACGAATGGTGAGATATACATACACATACAGTATACGTGTAGTGCTGGCACATGCTACAACTTGGATGAATCTTAGAAACATTGAATTTTGCATTAAATAAAAGACAAAGATCATATGTGATATGATTCTTTTCAAATGATATCTCCAGAATAGACAAATTTATAAACATGAAACAGACTAAAGGAGGCAGGTGTTGTGGTGCCACAGGTTGAACTGCCACTTGCAACACCAGCATCCCGTATCAGAGAGCCAGTTTGGGTCCCGGCTATTCCACTTCTGAGCCAGCTTCCTGCTAAGGTGTCCAAGTATTTGAGTCTCTTCCAACCACTGAGACCTGGATGGAGTTCTTGGCTTCAGCCTGGCCGGGTCTGGCTGTTGCAACCATCTGGGGAGTGAGCCAGTGATGGACAACCTCCCTCTGTCCCTTGCCCCATCACTCTTTCAAATAATAAATAAATCGTGGAGAAGGAAAACAACAGACTAGTTAGTTACTATGGGCAGGGGCGGGGGGTGGGGGACGACAGCTGCTTTCTAGGTCCAAGGTGTTTTTCTGGGTGATAAAAAGTTCTGAAACTAGAGATAGAAGCTGGTTGGCACAACATTTTGAATATTCTAAATACCGCTCAATTATACATTTGTACACGGTTAATTGTAGGTTATGTGGAATTCTCCAAAATTGAAACACAGTTCTGAGGGAGGGGACACAATGGCTTACCTTTCTTTTTCCTCTTCAGATAATGCTCTCCAAACAATTTTATTCAAGCGCCTGTTTGAAACAACAACAATTTAGTAACAGTACTTCATTCCATGGCCAAAGGTCAACCCCAGACCCAAGCCCAATACCATCACCACGGGACCCTGTCACTGTACCTACTTAAAGGCAGTGGACAGGAGTGTCTCCCTTCCATAGCACCACTGCAGATGCTGCAAGGTGTTGTGACAACTGTGTCAAATGTTAGAGGAGCGCTCAGCTAGCCGCACAGCCAGGTAAAGCCGAGGCTGAGGACAGGCGGGAAACAAACTGGCCTTCATCATGTCTGTATGAAGGTGTGTATCCAGACACCCACCATTTTTCTTCCTAAGGAAACCACAACTGAGCCCTGGTTCTCTTTCTATAGACATTCTTCAGCCTGGATTCTCAGAGAAGGGGGTTCCCAGAGTCATCAGTAACAGGCTGGAGACACACTGGAGAGATCCACCAGCCCGGCCGCCTCGTTTTCCAGAGGAGCTGAGAGGCGCTGCCAGGTGAAGCGCCTTGCTCCTCCCCCAGCTGGTGGGCCACACTGAGAGGCCAGCACTTCCCTCAGCAGCTTTTCAGAGGGAAGCTGTCAACCCAAGGAGACTGGAGCCAGTAGCTCCTACAGGCAGGTCAGCTCCTCTTGTTACACTAATCAGCGATGTGTCTTTCAGGGCTCCAGGCCAGTTCTGTTCCACTTCATCATTCCCTGAAAGCAGGCTTCCTGGAGTGCAGGGCACAGAACACTGGCTTTGGAGGGTTTGAGCTGATGGTCCATGAAAATAAAATTGCTTCAATAAAAAGAGATGGGAGAACACCACACTCTCCTGGAGGCGTTCTCCTAACCACTGGAGCCAGCATCAGTGGATCAGGGCCCTGAGAATACACTTTGGGTGGAGGTGCTGTTCTGCCCTGCTGTTGGGTCAGTACCCAACTCTGTCAAAATGGATAACAAGGGAAGCTCCTGGCTCCTGGCTCCTGGCTTCAGATTGGCACAGCTCCTGCCATTATGGCCAACTGGGGAGTGAACCAGCAGATGGAAGACCTCTCTCTCTGCTTCTCCTTCTCTCTGTGTGTAACTCTGGCTTTCAAATAAATAAATCTTTGGAAAAAATGGATAACAAGGGGCCAGTGCTGTGGTATAGTGGGTAAAGTTGCTGCCTGCAGTGCCAGCATCCCATACAGGCGCCGGTTTGAGACCAGGCTGCTCTACTTCCGATCCAGCTCTCTGGTATGGCCTGGGAAAGCAGTAGAAGATGGCCCAAGTCCTTGTGCCCCTGAGCCCACATGGGAGACCTGGAGAAAGCTCTTGGCTTCTGGCTTCAGATCAGCGCAGCTCCGGTCATTGCAGGCAACTGGGGAGTGAACCAGCGAATGGAAGACCTCTCTGTCTGTCTCTGTCTCTCTCTGTGTGTAACTCTGACTTTCAAATAAATAAATCTTAAAAAAAAAAATCAGTGCGATGGAGCAAGAGGAGTGTCACCATTAAACTCCTGATATTTGTGTTTATTTCAGGATCCATAGATTCAATGAAACTGGGAGTTAATTCACATGAATTGCTCTTTATATGTAACTGACATGCTCCTCACAACAGCCCTGTGACACAGGTCCTATAAATAAGGAACCTGAGGTTCATGACCTTCACGTCCTTGCCCAGAGCAGGCGTTGGGGATAAGAATGAAACCCACAAGCACTGTCTGACCTCAAAGCTGTAGCTTGTGCCCTGCACCAGGCCTTCACAAACCAGATAATTATAGAACTCGAATACTTCAATTACTCGAGCAAATTACATTAGAATTTGAACGGTATTATATTTGCATTTTGAATAACTGAATTTGAAGAGTTTTAATGATTACCCTGGAATTAGATAAAGTATGAATTGATTTCAGATAACCAAATATATAAATATATATTTACAATCCAACAAATATATCAGCTATATATCCTGACATGTGCTGGGGATAGATGAGGCAGGAACATGGCTGGCCAAGCCACCAGCCTGTGCTGCCACTTCGTGGAGCAGAGACAGTCAACAAGCCACAGTCCTGTGCAGAAGCCCAAGTGTTTCAGCAGCCACATGCAGAGAAAGGTCTTTGGAGGAGGCCCTTGGCAATGAGGCAAGGAGGGAGGAGCAAGCCAGTGGGCAACAGCAGCATAACTGGAAGAGGATCAAAGCTGGGAGAAGGGAAGGCCTGCGTGAAAGCCACAGGCCCATGGGAGAAGGTGGGCCTTGCAATGACTCACCTGCCTGGGAGAGAAAGGCCAAGGACCCGTGGAACACAGAGGGACACTGAGAAGTCTCAGTTCTGATGGGGAGGGCCAGTGGGAGAGGCTCCAGAGGAAGTGGACTTGGGCAGGCCTGTGCGGGGCACAGGACAAAGGCCTCCCATTGGATTGCATGATGTGCTCCTGTGGGCAGGAGGCGAGGCCTTGTGCCTGTATTAAACACACACTGGACACACTGCAAAATGACAACAGACCAACAAATGCTGGCCTGGGCCACTGCATTAACTTTTGTTGACTTTTTCTCATTTTTTTTCCCCACCCACAGGGTAGAAAACAAAAATCCAACTAACTGTACAGCTTCCCAAAGAACGGGTTTACCTGAAGAAGCTGGACACACTCCAAGTTTAATTAAGTGCTGTGCAGCAAGGATTAATTAAGTGCTAGAGGGCAGGGGCAGACAAGGGTGATGACTGGATCATCTGCCTCTGTGGGGAGAGGTTCCTGTGTCAGCACAGACACAGGACTATTAGAGAATATCACTTGCATGGTAGTCAACTTGATCATCACCTTGAACTTGATACAAAAAAATGCTGAAATTATATAAACAGTCATCCCTTAGTATCCGTGAGGGATTGGTTCCAGGACCCTCAAGTCCCTTCCATAAAAAGGTGTAGTATTTGCATACAACCTATACACAAGGGAAGCCGCCTTGCTTCCTTCCCCTACCCCACTCCCGCAGAGTGCCATACGCAGCAGCAAAAAGTCACGCAGTGCGCCTCTGTTCTCCTACCACCATCACAGTCAGGGCAACATGTGGGGGCAAAGGACAGATCCCTTGCATCCTGCAGCTGTGGGCGCTTTGGGGCATTAGCCCCAGAGCTACACTCACACACTCTATGTGAGCAAGGGGGATTCACCTTAGCTTTTGGGAGCTAGCACTAGAATCAGCCCATCAAAAAATCCCACCCTGGACATCTGGAGAATGACCCCACTATACCCTGCAACACCAGGGCTATTAACAATTCATTCTAAATTTCCCAGTGCCATTGGAATATGCCTGGTGGACAAAAGGAATAACCTACCTGCATTCCACTTCTCTGGACTCAAATCTTCCAGAGTAAAATCTCCTGTATACCTTGTAGTCACCCTGTAGGGCTGGAACAAGGGTCAGTTCATATCTCCTAGTCCCAGGACAAGGGCTGCTGGTATTATAAGCCACAGCATCTGTTGGACTCTCCTAGCAGGACCTAAGGAAGGGTCCACCATTTCCACAGCCCTAGAGCCACAAGTCCCGGCATCACTCAGGCTTGCCAGTAGGACAAGGGGCAGCCACTCTTGTCCCCCACAACACCAACAACAAGGCCTTGGCTATCACATTCACCAGGGAGACTAACACTGAACTCTATGTGGACCAAAGATACACACCCAAGGAAACTCTTATTCATCTCAAAGCCACACTTCTACCCCTACGAGCTGCAGCAGACTGGTCCCCTGTGCCACTTATAGACAGAGCAGACATTGATGAAGCAAAAAAAATCACTCGGAGACTACACTCCTAAGCTCACCTAGAACCAAAGCCAAAACAACAAGTCAAGTGATACACTGCATCCCAGTTAAACCATAAATTATTTTACAATAAAACCCACTCCATAAAGGAAGAAGAGACAAATAAACCAGCTCAGCGGGTTACAGCCTTGGCTTGCAGTGCTGGCATCCCAAATGGGCGCTAGTTCGAGTCCTGGCTGCTCCGCTTCCAATCCAGTTCTCTGCCATTGCCTGGAAAAGCAGTGGAAGATGGCCCAAGTCCTTGGGCCCTTGCATCTATGTAGGAGACCTGGAAGAAGCTCCTGGATCCTGCCTCCTGGCTCTGGATCAGCTCAGGTCTGGCTGTTGTGGCTATCTGGGGAGTGAACCAGTGGATGGAAGACCTCTCTTTCTCTCTGGCTCTGTAATTCTGTCTTTCAAATAAATAAGTTAAAAAAAAAAAAAAAGAACAAACTACCCCTCCGGAAATAGATCCTGAACTGAAGAAAATCTATGAAATGGCAGATACAGCATTCAAAATAATAATCGTAAGGAAACTCAATCAGATGCAAGTGAATACAGATAAATTAAAGAAATGAGGAAATCAATGAGTGACATGAATGAAAACATTTCTTAGGAGATAGAACTCAGTAAGAAGAACCAAATAGAAATCTTAAAATGAAATCTTCAGTGAAATAAAAAATACAATTGAGAGCTTTAACAGCAGAATAGACCAAGAGGAGCAAAGAATTTCTGACCTTGAGGACAAGATTTTTGGAATAACCGAATCAGGCAAGAATAAAGAGAAGAGAATTTAAAAGAATGAAATATGTGAAATATGGATACCATTATACAACCAAATATTTGTATTTTGGGCATTACAGATGGAGAAGAAAAGGAAAAAAGAATGGAGAACCTGCTAAATGCAGGTATTTGAAAAATTCCTAGGTCTTGACATAGACATGGATATTCAGATAAAAGAAGCTCAAAGAACCCCAAACAGACTGAATCAAAAATGCATCGAGTTACATATAAAGGGAAACCAATTAAATTAACATCAGACTTCTCAGTGGAAACCCTACTGGCCAGAAGACAGTGGGATTATATATTCAAGGTCTTCAAAGAAACAAAAAAAACCTTCCAACCAAGAATACTATATTCAGCGAAGCTATGCTTTAAAAGTGAAGGAGAAGCATTTCCCAGATAAGCAAAAACTGAGAGAATTCACCACCACCGGACCAGCCTCATAAGAAATCCTGGAAGGTGTCCTGCATTGACGTAAATGCTGGGGCCGGCACTGTGGTGTAGTGGGTAAAGCCACCGCCTGCCATGCTGGCATCCCATATGGGTGCTGGCTGGAGTCCTGGCTATTCTACTTCTGATCCAGCTCTCTTCTGTGGCATAGGAAAGCAGTAGAAGATGGCCCATGTCCTTGGGTCCTGTACCCATACGGGAGAGCTGGAAGAAACTCCTGGCTCCTGATTTCGGATTGGCAAAGCTCTGGCCATTGCAGCCAATTGGAGTTAACCAATGGAAGGAAGACCTCCCGCCCTCCCCCCTTCTCTTTCTCTGTAAATCTTTCAAATTAAAAAAAAAAAAAAAAGAAGTAAATGTCATGAAAATACATAACACCACCAGAGCAGGTAGACTCATTATCAAGTCAACAAAATGACAGGTCTTAGCTCTTATCTGTCAATACTAACCTTGAATATAAATGGATTAAATTCACAAACCAAAAGACTTAGGTTGGTTGAATCTATAAAAAAACTAGGACCCCACTACATGCTCCCTACGAGAAACTCACTTCACAAAGGTATACACAGACTGAAAGTGAAGGGGTAGAAAAAGAAAGACCAGGCAAATGGAAACCAAAAGTGAGCAAGCTTAGCTATCCTGATATCAGAGAAAACAGACTTTAAATCAAAAACTGTAAAAAGAAATAAGAAGGACATTATATTTTGATTAAGGGTACAATTCAGCAAGAAGACATAACAATCATAAATACATATATACACGACCACCCAAATATATACAGAAAATAGGAATAGACCTAAAGGGAGAGATAGACTCCATTATAATAATAGTGGGTGACTTCAACACCCCACTCTCATCAATGGACAGGTCATCCAGACCAAAAAAAAATCAATAAAGCTACACTGGAGTTGAAACATAATTGAGCAAATGGGCCTAACAGGCATTTATAGGACGATTCACCCAACAGCTACAGAACATACAGCCTTCTCATCAGCATATGGAACACCTCTAGGATAGACCACATACTAGGCCACAAATCAAGTCTCAGAAAATTTAAAAAATTGAAATCATACCATGTATCTTCTCCTCAGACCATAAAAGAATAAAACTAGAAATCAACAACAACAAGAAGAATAGAACACGCATAAATACTTGGTTTTAAACAATATGCTTACATTTTAAAAAAGAGAAATATTTCAAACTAGAGATCTAATGATGCATCTTGAAGACTTAGAAAAACAAGAACAAACCAAACCCCAAATCAGCAGGTGGCAAGAAATGAAGATCAGAGCACAAATAAATGAAATTGAAACTAAAAAAAAATACAACAGATCAACAAAACAAAACATTGGTTTTTAAAGAAGATAAACTGGGGGTGGGAAGACAGTTATGATGGGAAGAATCACTATATTCCTAAATGAAATTTGTACTCATTAAATACATGGCTTCTTTGGGAAAAAACATAAAGAAGATAAACAAAATAAATTTCCAGTCAGACTAACAAAAAAGAGAGAAAAAATTCAATCAAATAGGCCGGCGCTGCGGCTCAATAGGCTAATCCTCCACCTAGCGGCGCCAGCACACCAGGTTCTAGTCCCGGTCGGGGTGCCGGATTCTGTCCCGGTTGCCCCTCTTCCAGGCCAGCTCTCTGCTATGGCCAGGGAGTGCAGTGGAGGATGGCCCAGGTGCTTGGGCCCTGCACCCCATGGGAGACCAGGAGAAGCACCTGGCTCCTGGCTCCTGCCTTCGGATCAGCGCGGTGTGCCGGCCACAGCGCACCGGCCGCGGCGGCCATTGGAGGGTGAACCAACGGCAAAGGAAGACCTTTCTCTCTGTCTCTCTCTCTCACTGTCCACTCTGCGTGTCAAAAAAAAAAAAAAAATCAATCAAATAAAACTAGAGATGAAAAAGGACAAGTGACACCACTGAAATGCAAAGGATCATAAGAAACTACTAAGAAAAATTATATGCTAATATACTTGAAGGCTGCAATTGAATCCAAAACCACATCAAAAAGATCATACATCATGGTCAAATGGGATTTATCCAAAAATGCAACAGTGGTTAACATTTGCACATCAATAAGCATCACAAATCACATCAACAGAATGAAGAACAACAGTAGTTGCAAGAAAGCATTTGATAAGATTCAATACCACTTGACGATAAAAAAACACTGCACAGGCAGGCGCAGCGGCTCACTAGGCTAATCCCCCGCCTGCGGCACTGGCACCCCAGGTTCTAGTCTCGATTGGGGCACCAGTTCTGTCCCGGTTGCCCCTCTTCCAGTCCAGCTCTCTGCTGTGGCCTGGGAGGGCAGTGGAGGATGGCCCAAGTGCTTGGGCCCTGCACCCGCATAGGAGACCAAGAAGAAGCACCTGGCTCCTGGCTTTGGATCGGCGCAGCACTGGCCGTGGCAGCCATTTCAGGGGTGAACCAACGGAAGGAAGACCTTTCTCTCTGTCTCTCTCTCACTGTCTAACTCTGCCTGTCAAAAACAAAAACAAAAACAAACAAAAAAAACAACCCTCCACAAATTAGGTATAAAAGGAACATTCCTCAAAATTATAAAAGCTCTATATCACAAACCAACAGCCAAAAGTTTGAGGGTGCAGGGCCCAAGGACCTGAGCCATCCTCCCCTGCACTCCTGGGCCACAGCAGAGAGCTGGACTGGAAGAGGAGCAACCGGGACAGAACCAGCGCCCCAACTGGGACTAGAACCTGGAGTACCGGCGCCGCAGGCGGAGGATTAGCCTAGTGAGCCGCAGCGCCGGCTACAAATGTCGTTTTATGAAACTTTTTAAAAATATTTTTGTCAAACCAATGTTTAAGAATGCTATACTACTACAGTTTTAATAATATGTAATTACTTTAAAATATACTGCATATGGGTGAAATGGTCGTTTTTCCATTCAACTATCATTTATAACAGCTGTGGATATTCCCACTGATGGTCTTTTTGCTTTTTACTTGTTAAACTTCTTATTTGGTGAAGTATTAAGCCTTTTTACTGTTAAATTTAAATATGTTATCTCAAAAACTAAAAGATAAATACAAAGAAACAGAGAAGGAAGGAGTGAGGGGGGAAGGAGAGAGGAAATATCATTATGTTCTTAGAATTATATCTACAAGTCACATTGAATCTGTTAAAAACTAATTAAAAATTAAAAGTAAAAAATAAAGAATCTATGCATATAGTAGTGTACTTTGAATCTACATATCCCATATAATATACTTTGAATCTATAAAGATATTTATAATACCTAATACAATGCAAATGCTGAGTAACTAGCAGTTGTACTGTACTGTTCAGGGAATAATGACAACAATAAAATGTGTACATGTGCAGCACAGACCTGAATTTCTTTATTGTCTGCGATTGTTTGAATCCTGGGATGAAGACCGTGCAGATACTGAGATCAGCTGTGCTACGTACATCCCTGCGGAGTTTCAGTAGTCACATTATAGAACGTTAGGTGCCAAAGTGATCAAATTCATTGTGCTCACTGAAACTTGAGATGTCTATAGAGTTTGGAAAGGGAAGATGGTTTCTTTGAAACCGCAGAAAATATTCAGGTAAATTAACGCAGCGCCTGGCACATAGGATACCCATATGTTAGCTGCTGCGACTGATGTTGAAATTGGACAATTTCTAAATGGCTGCTTCAGATGAAAAACTTAAGCTTAAATAAAAGAAAATAAGCCAAACCCAACAAATAAAGAAATTTGAGAAGCCACGAGTGATACTTACTTTTCGTAAGACTTAATTGCCCGTTCCACTTTTTGCTTGTAGATATTGAGCTTGACCCCTTGGGGGTTAATTAATGTCATCTTATTTGTGTTGTTGCACACGTGTGCCAGAGGGAACACCTACACATCAACACCAAGAGCAGAGAAACTGTCACTTGATAAGTTAACAAAACCTTCAAAACGCATCCGCATGGCTGTGCGGTATGTTTTCCTGATTGACAATGACATACATTATGAACTTAGAAAAACTGGAAAATACAGGAAATCATAAAGAAAAAAATAAGAATCAGTTATATCATCGTTAACCCTTTCCTTCCAATTTTGAAAGCTACGTATTTTTGATAAAATCATCACCACTACCACAAACACTTCCATAAACATACAACACACAAACAATCAACAACAAAATAAACCCCAAACTGTCATAGGAAACCCTAGTCAGAATACAGTATTACCTTCAGAAGCCTATGTCAGATTGGTAAGAGTGGGCAATGAGAAATAAGATCTCATTGCTGTTTCTTTATAAATTATGAGCATGCGTGGATTCCAAAATTGTTTGCACCAAAGTAAATTTATCTTCTAATTCCATTTTCTGGGGCCGGCTCAGTAATGTAGCCGGTAAAGCTGCCACCTGCAGTGCCAGCATCCCATATGGGTGCCGGTTCTAGTCCCAGCTGCTCCACCTCCAATCCAGCTCTCTGCTATGGCCTGGGAAAGCAGTAGAAGGTGGCCAAGTCCTTGGGCCCATGCACCCATGTGGGAGACCTGGATGAAAGCCTGGCCCCTGGCTGTGGATCAGTGCAGCTCTGGCCATTGCGACCAATTGGGGAGTGAACCAGTGGATGGAAGACCTCTCTCTCTCTCTCTCTCTCTCTGTCTCTCTCTCTCTCTCCTTCTGTCTCTGTGTAACTCTGACTTTCAAATAAATAAATAAATCTTTAAATAATAATAATAATTCCATTTTCCATGAACTTTCTGGAGTATCCTCATACTAGTTGGATTACGCATCTTTTTCATATGCTTATTTTACATTTTATTTTCTTTTGAGAATATTTGATTACAGTTAATATCTTTTTGACCATTTTCCTAATCAAATTAAAGAGGCTCTTACACATATCAAAGAAGGCTTAGTGGTCCAAAATTCCACACCCTAGGGGAATAGCAGAGGACCAGCAAGGCTTCTTTCTGTCTGTGCCTGCTGCTTATTCCTAGGTTTTGGGATACTTCTGATTCTCTGCCAGGCCACTCCAGGGAGTGAGGGAAATGCTGAACTTATTGCTAGTTTGGTAGAATTTCAAATTCTGCTATCTTTTCTCGATTCTTTTGGGGCCAATTCAATTTCAAAGTTTATCGATAGCTGCTCCAGGTTTTCTGTCCATAATGTCTGCTTGTATTCAGTGGGGAACCTGGGTGAAGTGTGCTTACTCCATCTGCCCAAGAGCCAGAACCCTCCATCATTCTTTTCTTCCCAATTCTTTCACATTAGTAGTACCTGTAATTTGATGTTGACCCATTTGCATATTACCTCTCTCTCCCTGGTAGAATGTAAGTTTTATCAGAAAAGTAAACATGTTTTATTCCTATCACCTAGAATAATACCTGGCACACAGTATGCCCTCAACAAATATTTGTTGATAAATGAATAAATTTATGTTTATAAGAAGATATATCCTATATCTTAATATTTAAATAAAGAACAAGTCTAACTGGAAAATATTAAGCTATACTATCATTATTTCAAAATTGTAGCATTCTGAATATAAGAAGCATGTAAGAATCTTGTAAATATAGGTAATAACTTTTAAGGAATAAATTACTTTCAATCAAGATGATGTAGCTCATGTTTTTATATTCATTTTTGCCAATAAAATCATGCAATTTGTATTATGCTATTATAGTTTAAGAAAATAATGCAGAGAAGGAAAAAAGAAAAAAACTCATGCTTGTTGAGTAGATTTCCAGACACAAAAAGCTGAACAGAAATGTTAATAAGTGAGCAGGGTTGAAGCCTGTTAGCTCTGTTTTTCAAAGCTGGCAGGGCCATGCGAACCCAACTCCAGGAAAGCAAATGGTACTGAGTGCTCTGGCAAACAAAGCCACAAGTCAGGATCAGTGCTTGCAGTCAGCATTGGTATGAAGGTCTTACAACTCTGAAAGAAGGCCTTGATGACTAAGGCTGATGTGGTCTCACAACCAAAAACAGAACTAAGCCACTATTATCCTATAATATCCACAGTATCTCTACGGAATAATTGCTCTAAATGCCTATGGTTGAGGAGGTGGGGAGTTCAGGGGGTGGATTTACACAACTGTAAAACAGAAGGAGAAAAAGAAAATCCAGATTTAACAAAAATATTGTTAAAATGAACCTGCATGATAAAATTCCTAAGTACGTACAAAAAATAAAATGCCAAAAATGACAGCTCAGCAAATCAACAATTACCATGTCAATTCACTTGAGAAGAAATTAATTTGTCGATCTATTTAACAATGATGTTGACTTAATTATGATTAAAAATAACTTTTGATTAGGTTATTTCAACTCTATGAAAGCACAAAAACTTACCAAAGTGCTATAACAACAAATAATGGGAAAAATAAATTTTAATTTTTGAAAAAGGACTCTGAAATTGACACGAAAATATTAATAGAATAAATTTTACACTAGATACAATTGAAAAATAAGGATTGGTGAACTGGGTGATAGTATTAAAGACTTTTCCCAAAATAAAGCACAGAGAGACAAAAAGAATAGAAATGACAGATAGATTAAAAGATCAAGCAACTTCAATAAATAGAAATTTCAATAGAATACAATGGAATTTTAAAAACTTACTAGAGAAGCAAGATTTGAAGCTATAATAATTGAGTTTTGGGGGCCAGCGCTGTGGCTTAGCAGGCTAAGCCCCTGCCTGTGGCGCTGGCATCTCATATGGATGCTAATTCATGACCCAGCTGTTTCATTTATGATCCAGCTCTCTGATATGGCCTGGGAAAGCAGCGGAAGATGGCCCAAGCACTTGGGCCCCTGCACCCATGTGGGAAGCCCAGAAGAAGCTCCTGGTTACTGGCTTCTGATCAGCCTAGCTCCAGCCACTGCAGCCATGTGGAGAGTGAACCAGCAGAGGGAAGACCTCTCTCTCTCTCTCTCTCTCCCTCTATGTCTGTAACTCTCACCCTTAAATAAATCAATGAAATCTTTAAAAAAAAAGTTGTGATTTCTACAACTTGTAAAAAGAAGTCCTCAGAGTAAATATAAGGCTACAACTTACTGATGATGAAATAAAAAGTAAACACACACACACAGAGTAAGTAAAACTTAAATATATCAGATCCCAAAGAAAATAATAAAAGCAATCCAAGCAAAAAAGACTGTATAAAGCATTGACATATAAAACAAAACAGATATCGAAGATATTGTCTTCAAGGAGATAAGGGGAATTTATTGTCAAGAGACCTTTATACCCAGCTAAACTATCACTGAGTGAAGACAAAACTAAAGGCATGTTTAGATATGTAAAGAGACACAAGTGGAACTGTTAAATTTAACTCTTGAAAGTTAAAAAAATATTAATATATATGTTCTAAAGGAAAAGTGAAATTCTAAATCACAGTAACCAGGTTCTGAGGGACAGGATTTTTAATGATTTGTTAAAGATTACTAAAGTCTCTGATTATATTTGGGAGTATAATAAAAATTTAATAACTTAAGGCTTAGTTATAAAAGTATTGATGTACGTTACAACTTTTAAATAATCAGTAAAAAATATTATCTATTACTCTCAAACAGGTGGATTAAGGGAGGAATATCAATAACTTAATCGGGGCCAGTGCTGTGGTACAGCGGGTTAATACCCTGGCCTGAAGCGCTGGCATCACATATGGGTGCCAGTTCGAGACCTGGCTGCTCCTCTTCCCATCCAGCTCTCTGCTGCGGCCTGGGAAAGCAGTACAAGATGGCCCAAGTCCTTGGGCCCCTGCACCAACGTGGGAGACCTGGAAGAAGCTCCTGGCTCCTGGCTTTGGATCCGCGCAGCTCTGGCCATTGTGACCATCTGGAGATTGAACCAGTGGATGGAAGACCTTTTTGTCTCTCCCTCACTTTGTAACTCTACCTCTCAAATAAATGAATAAAATCTTTAAAAAAAAGTTTGATACTGGCATAAAACCTGATACATAGATCAATGGAACAGAATAGACAGCCCAGAAATTAATCCATGTACAAACAGCCAACTGATTTTTGACCAAAAAATACTCAGACCATACAGTGGAGTAGGATAATCTTTTCATCAAATGGTGCTAGTAAAACTGGATGTACATATGTAGAAGAAGGAAATTAGATCCATACCTCTCACCACATACAAAAAGCAACTCAAGATGGATTAAAGGCCTAAATTCAAGACCTGAGACTATGAAGTTGCTGGAAGAAAAAGTAGGAGAAACACCCTAAAACATTAGTGTAGGGGATGACTTCTTGGACAAGGCCCGCAATGCACGGCCAACAAGAGCAAAACTAAAAAATGGAACTACATCAAACTCAGAAGCTTTTACACAGCAAAGGAATTGACCAAAAGAGTAAACAGACATCCAACAGAATGGGATGTTTGCAAACCACCTATCTGACAAAAGATTGATATCCTAAACAAATCAACAACTTAATGACAAAAAAAAAAAAAAAAGAAAGAAAAAATACAAATGACTAACAAATATATGAAAAAATGCTCATTACTAGCCATCAGGGAAATGCAAATCAAAACCACAATGAGATATCACCTCACCCCTGTCAGAATGGCTAAAATCCAACACACAGAGAGTAATCAATGCTGACAAGGATGTGGACAAAGAGGAACACTTACACACTGTTGTTGGCCACTGTGGAAAACAATGCGGAGATTTCTTAAAAAAACTTGAAATAGACTTGTCATGTGATCCAGCAACCTACTACTGGCTATACACACACAAAACTTGAATCCACAGTGTATCAGGGATCCTTGTACCACCATGCTCATTAGCAGCACTGTTCATAATAGCCAAGATTTGGAACCAACCAAGGTGTCCATCATCAGATGAATGGATAAATATGATGTACATATACATAATGAACTATTATTCAGCTATAA